GGGGGGGGGGGGGGGGGGGGGGGGGGGGGGGGGGGGGTGTCATCAACGCACAGCAGGGAGCGGTATGGGGTCGGAGGTGACCCGATGGAGCTATCACGCGCAATACTATATTTTTGGGCCTGATCTGTCCCAGATTTGGGTCCGCCATGGGTCTGGTACAGTCAATTTCAGTGTGCTGGTGTTGTACCACTTCAGGTATCTGTAGGCAGCCTTTTTTCTAATGCCGACCCCCGCCGCTGTAGGCCCCCTCATGCACCACTCCCCAATCAAAAAAAGAACATACCCCAAACGGGAAAGTTTGCCCTCTGCTATGATTCAGAGACCTTTTGCAATCTACTGCTGGTCACCCACCTTCCAAGCTGCATCACGATCCCTCCGACGAGGACCACACCCTTTTTTTGAACCCCGAAAGGACCCCGTTATAACTTCATTGGACTGCACGACATACCCAAAAAAAAATGCAACCCGTATAGGTGTAGCTTAGCGGCTGCAAAATGGGGAAGTGAAAAAGCCAGTGGTGAGAAGAAAAAAAAAAAAAAAAAAAAAAAAAAAAAAAAAAAAAAAAAAAAAAGCCAGTGGGACCATAGATGGGTCTGGAAGGCCGAAATTATGTGTAAGGGGGTGTCAGTCCCATAGCATTGGCAGGAGCCAGTTCGTGTCGTGTACCTCACCGGCCGCTCAGAGAGCCAAGCCTTAATTAAATTAAAATTCGCAGAGCGGGAGGCGAGAGGTACCACGAGGAAAGAGCATTGGATTACGCCCCCGAATCTGGATGTGGTTTACGCCTAGATGCAGAAAAGCAGATCAATTGCGCCTTGTCGGCAAACACGTCCAGATTCGGGCACCAATCCTCTTTGCTGGTGGGGTGGCGGCCTACCGGTTCGCTACCCATCTGAACTGCCGGAAGCGGTCGCTCATTGGATAAGACAGGATTCGGCACTGCCTGTACTGGTCCTCCTCTGCGCGTGTCGATTTTTCTGGTGTGTTTTCGTTTCCTGTTTTTCTAGCTTTTCTTTCTTGTTTTTTCCCCCTTTATTCATGTGGCCCTGCCCGTCTTTGTGTTTGTTTTTCTTTTCTATTTTTTGGCCCTCCCAGTATTTGTGGCCAATATAAACTCGACTATCCGAGGTTTGAAAAGCCCTCTGGGGCGAAGTCCCACTAGCAGAGAGGATAGGATTGAAGAACTGAATTTGGAGGCGTTTGTGGAAAGGTGCAGAATATCGAGATTGAACTGATTTTCTGCATGTCTGCTTAAAACACGTCCAGATTCAAGATATTTATCCAATCCCTTTTGCTAGTGGGACCTCGCTCCTGAGGTAGGATTGTGGGAATAGCAGGGGTGCGCGGGAAGAGCCTACGAGAGAAGGAAATGTTGGGAAGGGAGTCTAATAGGAATTAGAAAAGGGGCCATCACAGAACACTGGACGAGCCCATGCGAAAAAAAAAAAAAAAAAAGAAGAAGAAGAAGAAGAAGAAGAAGAGTGAACTGTCATAGGTCTGAAAACCGGGCTTTGTTTATTTTTTAGACGAAGAAAAACAACAGCTAATAAAGCTTCCACACTCCCCTTCTGAAGAGAGGGTAATGTGCACACACCCAAAGTGCCCAAGGAGGGAACTACCCAGCTTCCCCCCGAATAGAACGCACGGTCGTGATGGCTGTAGTTGTGGCAAGAGCAGTCTGGATACAGCGATAACGACCGTGCGTTCTATTTGAGGGAAGAGAGAAGGTGCTCAAAGCCAGACCGAGGCTGGCTGCGCGGAGGACGGCGCCTCAAACGCGTCCAGGTGCATCCAAAAGGCAGAGAACCAGGTGGTCGTACGTAGCCAACCCGAGGCTGGTCCGGGGCTCGAATCACATGGGACTGGACGGGTGATGTCACTCAGCTGGAAGGGATCCCCTCCCCCCTCCCTCTTTCCCCTCCCCCCACACCCCTCAATGGGGCCTCGACATGCCGGCGGTTGAAGGCCAGGCTGAGCTTGTTTAGGGGAAAAAAAAGGGAAAAAAAAAGGGCCCGCTTGAGGCGTCCACTGCATGGGGTAGATGGCCGACGTATGAAAGGCCCAGCAGGGGCCAGCCTTAGGTGATGACGTTCTGAGGAGCTGAGGAGCTCTACCTCCGACGAGGGAGAAGAGAGTCTCCCTCTGTTCCCAGATTACGTCCAGATTCAGCCCGCTTTTCAGATTCTAGCTAACGCGGTGGCTGGCTGTGAGAAAAGTGATCCTTCGACGTCCAAGTCAGCCCGTTCAGCATCTGTGCTTTTATCCAGCTCAGCATCACCGGTGGAGCAGGACCAGCCGCCGCTGCCACGTGTCCGCTCCTCGCTTCTCTGGTACTCTGCCACGTGGCGGAGTGGCCCAGCTTGCCGAGCCGAAAGCGAGTCTCGATGCTCACCTGGACAATCTGTCCGTCTAACAGCTCACCTGGCCTCTTTTCCATACCATTCGATGCATGTGGTCGGGCCGAGATGATGAGGGCGTCTGGTGTTGCGGATCCTAGATGGCTAACTACCGGTCGTTGAATGGCGAGGACCATCCGTCTGCCACGTGTCAGCGCAGAGAGGATTAATTGTCTAGTTCGTCACCCCTCCCTCCTCCCAATTCGCATTTTCTCATTTTCTCATTTTTGATTGATTGGCTAGAGTACCGACACCGCACCGGGCCGTTACCTTGAACCTGCACTCGGACTGCAGTTGCTGGGGAATAATCCATAAGAAAGTATTGTAAAGTAATAATGATAACAGTAGTAATAATTAAATAATAATAATAATAATAATAATAATAATAATAATAATATAAGATTGACCGTTGATCTAGTAGATTAGAAGCCGGTGAGGATCTAGTGGATCCCAACCGATCAGAAATTACCAAATCAAGCAACCGATTTCGCAGCCAGCCCGAACAGGAAAGAACGGACAGGGAAGGAAGGGAGGGAGGGAGGGAGGGAGGGAGGGAGGGAGGCAGGGATATAAGGGAGAAAAGGAGGAGGAGGAGGACGAGGAGGAGGAGGAGGAGGAGGGAAGGAGGGAGAGGACTTTGTTGCAAAATACGAATCACCCCAGCAGCTTCCCGCAGAACGGAAACCATCAATCAACTAATCAATCAATCAATCAATCAATCAATCAATCAATCAATCATGGCTATCACAGGTGCAACATACAAGGCTCCGGCGTCTGCAGTCTCGCCTTCCTCCTACTCCTCCCCCTCCCCCTCCCTTAGCTCCTGTCGGGCAAAGAAGAGCACGACGGGAAAGCCCTACTCCTTGCGCACCAAGATGTCAACTTCGTGCTTGTCCGTTAGATCTCGAGAGATTGCCGGTGATCCATGCAGTGCCACGTGTCAGGCAACACTCCAGCTGAGCGTTGAGGCAGAGAGGAAGGGATGGCGAAGAAAGGCTTTGCTGGCATCGACAGCCGGAGGGCGAGAGGAAGAAGGGGGTGGTATGGGGGGAGCAATTTGCCGGCAAAGGAAGGGCTTTTGGTCGTGGTCTTGCTCGGGTCTCTCCTCCTCCTCCTCCTCCTCCCCCTCCGGACCGGGCACCCCCTGTGACCGGATGGTGGTTAATCCGTCGCGAGCGCCACGAAGGCGAGTGCGCGGGGGTGCTACCGTGCTTCCAGCGACGACGGCTTCGTTCTCCTCGACCAGGATAGAAGAGAGAGAAGGCGGGCGGGAGGGGAGAGAGAGGGGGGAGACAACCGAACTTGGGGGGCCCTCCAGCAGCTCGGACCATGCCCAGGATGCTCTGCAAATGCGAGAAAGCGTTGACGTCATCATTCCATTGGAAATGAGGTCGCCTGCTGCGGATGGGCTCGACCAGCGAGGGGGGCAGTTGTCACATGCGCTCAACAGACAACGAAGAAATGGAGGAGGAGGAGAGGAGGAGGGAGACCACCTGCAGCAGCTCGTGACGGAGTTGATGTCGGCGAAGGACGCTGACACTTTGATCTCCGTGCTTGAGAAATACAAGGACGAAGTGTTTCAAACAGAGCTCACCAAAATAATGGCAAGGATGCTCGAGCGCCAGATGTGGCGAACGACCGACGCGGTACGTCGTCTCGTATGCTTCCTTCTTCTTCTTCTTCTTCTTCTCTTCCTCCTCCTCCTCCTCTCCTCTCCTCTTCCTCCCTTTCCCCCTTCTTCTTCTTCTTCTTCCTCCTCCTCCTCCTCCCCCTCCTCCGTCTCTCCCCATTTCTTCTTCTTCTTCTTCTTCTTCTTCTTCTTCTTCTTCTTCTTCTTCTTCTTCCTCCTCCTCCTCCTCCTCCTCCTCCTTCTCCTCTTCTTTCCCCTCTTCCTTCTCCTCCTCCTCCTCCTTCTCCTCTTCTTTCCCCTCTTCCTTCTCCTCCTCCTCCTCCTCTTCCTTCTCCTCCTCCTCCCCCTTCTCCCCTTCTACTCTACGTCCGCCTCCGCCTCCGCCTCCGCCTCCGCCTCCGCCTCCGCCTCCGCCTCCGCCTCCGCCTCTGCCTCGGCCGTCCCGCCCCTTTCCCCCCCCCGACCCTTCTTCTTCTTCTCCTTCTTCTACTCGTTCGCCGCCTCCTCTTCGTCGTCATCGTCGTCCTCCTCCTCCTTCCCGCTCTCCTACTTCTTCTTCTTCTTCTTCTTCTTCTTCTTCTTCTTCTTCTTCTTCTTGTGCCATGTTTATCCCCATCCCCCCTCTCTCCTCAGCCAGTGTGCCGATGGCTCCTTCCGGACTTTCTGCTTATGAAAAAAAAAAAAAGATAGATGACGAGTGAAGCCGGCTCGACGATGCGAAGGCGAACGAGGGGAGATCCCGACAACAAAGTCGGGAGCTTGATAGTGGTGCAGATCACTCTCTCGCGAGTGTGAAGACACCCTCCCCACCCCGTCGAGGGACTGTCGTGTGTGTTTAAGGAGGACAGGCCCCCTCTCCCCTCAAAAAAAAAAACGTCGAGGGACTGTCGTGTGTGTTTAAGGAGGACCGGCCCCCTCCCCCCTCCCC